CGCTTTACGCGTCTCGACATGGTCCGGAATAATGACACCCGGAAGACCCTTGGAATACAGCTTTTGCCATACATAAATACATGCATGCATATATACATACATACATACAACCATACATACATTCATACGTACGTACATGCATACATACAAACATACATAAATTCAAACATTCATACATACACACTTACACACAAATATACATACATAGACACATACATACATACATACATACATACACACATACATACATACATCCATACATATATACATACATACATACACGCATACATAAATTCAAACATACATACATACACACTTACATACAAATATACATACATAGGCACACGCATACATACATGCATACATACACACATACATACGTACACACACATACATATATACATACATACATATATACATACATACACACATACATACATATATACATACATACGTACATGCATACATACATACATACGTACATACATGCATGCATACATACATGCACGCATACATACATACATGCATACATACATACCTACATACATACATGCATATATACATACATATATACATGCATACATAAATTCAAACATACATACATACACACATACTAATATGCGACCATAGACGCATACATACATATATACATACATACACAGATACATACATACATACATACGTGCATATATACATACATACATACATGCAAACATACATACATATATACATACATACATACATACACATATACGTACCTACATAGATACATACCTACATACGTACATACATACATACATATATATATAGATAGATAGATAAATACATACATACGTACATGCATACATAAATTCAAACATACATACATGCACACTTACATGCAAATATACACACAGACACATACATACGTACATACATACATACATACATACAAATACGCATGCACATATACATACATACATTCCCACATCTATACCTACATACATACATACATACACACATACATATATACATACATACGTACATACATACATACGCACATGCATACATACATACATACAGTATTACATACAGTATACCTACAATTAGTCCATTTATAGGCAATAAATGCGCGATTACCTTGTAACCAGCATAACGGTACAGTGTTAAAAATTCAAGTAACGCAAAGATTCTAAGTCCGATATGGTAGAGGGTTAGGTTCTTCACCATGTACCATATATGAGTTTATCGGTAAAACGTGCGAGATTTGCTAATAAGCTAAACTATGTACAGCGTTAAAATTTTGCAAATTCGTGAAAACAAGCCAACAAAGATTCTGAAAACAGTTGGTCTTTGTTGCACCATTATTCACAGCAGGCAGTCATGGTGGCTCTGCCTTTCAATCAGTATGCTTGAAGGCATTCCTGCAAGGTTTTCTATGATATCTTTTGAATTCACCTTAACTTGTTGGTTTGGTGGCGTGCACATTAGCGGTGGGTGATTATAGAGGGGGAATATAGGAATATATTTTATAATTACTTTTCATCCTATGCGTTGAATTGTCGGAAGGCTTCTTCCACTTCTTCCTTTTCCTAGCATGTTCCCTTTAACAGAGATCTGTTAATCAAGTCAACCTCCTCCACATTTTCCTGTCGTCCGTTATTTTTTCAGAGACTTCTCGCAGTTTCATTTCGTTCTTGACAAATCGCGCTACTTTTATCGGAAAGCTGTAATTGTAAAAATGTTATGTATGGAATCGGGGCTTATTTTCCTTTGACTAATATTGCGTTTTGGTCATGTAAGAGGTTGTATCTTCTGATTCTCTTTATTTAGAGAGCAAAAACAAATGACTGTTAATTAACCAGCATTTACCGAATAGCCGTTATGAAATCTGATGATGACTGATGCCCATTTCATCCGAACATTGGCGGGTTAAATAAAAATGTTTCTCGTTTTCATGTCGTTAATGCTGGAATCAGAAGATCAGTGCATTTCCAGATATCTATATACGGTGCTGATGTCAGTTTAAGCTGATTTTCACTGTGTTCGAGGCCATTTTGATGACTGGGTCAATCTTTTTGATCGATGGTTGAGGACATCAGACAAGACGGATAGACGATAGAAACTTTTAATATTGCTGAGGCTTTTCGTT